AAAAACTGTGGTATAATATACTTAACATAAATTTATGTCTTATTCATTTTTAAAATTGTTTTTAGTTGTCAGTGGATCTTTATTTTATTTATTTATATGCGGTGCTGAGAATCGAATTCAAATGTCTCACATATACTTGGCAAGCTCTCTACCAATAAGCCACCACCCCAGCCCTGTCTTTAGACATTTTTAGGTGTATAGTTTAGTGGCATTAAGCACATTCACATTTTTGCAAATCCAAATTCTAACATTTCTGGCAAGTATCTGCCCTGTGCTTAGCACCTGAGGCTGAGCAGGAACAGAGAAACCAACCTTCTAGTTTAGTGAAATCTCAAGGAAGGGTTTGACTTCTATCTGGCCTCTTCTGGTTTAACAATTTCCTAAGACATGTGCCACCAGCGTCTTCCTTACTTCAAAGCTTTCTCTAAACACAATCATTCATGTTCTCACCAGTGCTGCTTATGTGCATATGAGATTCGACAGATAGGGATAAGTTGCTGATTATCCTCACAGGCAAATGTGCACAGGTCCTTCCAAGTCTGTGCTCCACTCAGCTCAGTCTCAGCACTCTCTTTCACAAATTCCTGGCTATCCATAAACCTTTGGCCCAGCAGGGAGCAAAGGACTTACAGCCACACAGATTTAGTCTTTACCACGAGCATTTCCTTCTCTTAGAAGGCATCAGGGTTCTCCCAATCTAGAAAGTCTTCTGGTAACCCTTCTCCTCTGAGTGGCGGCCTATTTTGGGCCTCCTAGTAGCAACCCCTCCCAGCTTTAATCACACAACACACCATAATCATTCCCTGTTCTCCACTTTTAATGTCAGTTTCTCCAGTAGGGCCAATACTATATTTATCTTTAATGTGCCTAGAATGCATATCACTTTTGATTTGCAGCAGGCATAGATGCTTACTTAGCAAAAAACTCACACAACAATTAAAGCCCAGAATTACAGAAAAGCCTACCACTATTTGCATAGTCGGACTCAAATGACACCAATAATGCACTTCCCTAAGGAGACTATTAAACCCTTAAACCTTTAAAAAGCAAAGGCACTATTTAGTTCCACACATAATCTTTATGGAGTAAGCAGCTCTAAGCACACAGGACCTGATAAACGTTTATTGAATAAAAGATGGAGTCAAATGTAACAAAAGAATCTGCAACATGCACATATTCAGAGTGACTTTCTCCCTGATCATACCTAATACCATGCTACATATGCAATGTAATGTAGCAGTCCAGAATCGAAAAGGAAGCTGACATTTACTCACTTTATCCCTTTGGAAGAATCATTTGTCGTTCCCCAAGGGAATAATTTTATTGATTGCAGGTTTTCAACGCTGGACCTTAACTCGCACACTGTTTTTATCCCAGCACCCTGATTACAAGATCAGATTATATTTCTTGATGATTCACCAAACTACCATGCTTTTGCACAGGTTTCCTCCGAAATCCAGAAGGGCCGTTTGGCATAGTGGAATCAAGAAACACTGTGACCTACTGTGATTTTCCCCCACCCCAGCACTGGAGGAGTCCGAAGACCCAGGTCCGGGCGCTGGCTCCCGGTGAGCGCTTCCGTCCGCTGTGTCCTGTCACCTGCCTCGCGGGGCAGGGCCGCTGGACAACTCTGCGACGTCCCAGGGCCTCGGGCAGCACAGCGCAGGTACCCGACCTGACACAGTCAAACCCTTCGCCACTGCAAAAGGCAGTGGTGCAACCCGGTCAGCGAAAGCGCACGCGATACCTCGGGACTAGGATTTCGGGGATCCCCGCGGGGACTCTCAGCTGGTGACCGGCGGCGCCCACCCACCTGTCAGAAGACCCACCCAGCTCCGGGTGCCCGGGATTCTGGGCGCTTGGGTCTCGGGTCCTCCTCTCAGGGGCTTCCCGCTCGCTGTGGTGCCTAATTCTGGCTTCCCCCGAGCTCCACTTCGGGTGCTTCCGGATTCCCGGCACCCTGGGGTTCCAGGCGCTGACTTTGGGCGCGGCCAGGCTGGGCAGGGCGAGTGACAGCACCACCAGTACTTCCGCCCTGCACCCGGCCGACAGAGCGCCCCTAGCGGGGACAACCACCAGGCAACCCCGGGAATCAGGTCCCGCTGCGGGCAAAGAGGGTCCCTGTTTGGGTCCCTGTTTCCATTTCGAGGGTTCAGCACTTTGTTACAGTTTCATTTTTCAGGCGGGACTTTGCCAATTAGGATAGATCCAAAGTTAAAGTTTGGGAGAGGGTGAACGAATGGTGCTGTCATTTAACTGAGAAACAAGGCGGGGTGGGGTGGGGGATGGGGTCGGGGCCGGGGCGGTGCAGAGGGAAGCTAGTTTCAAGAAAGTTTGGGGTCAGGGAAACAAGAGAAGGAATGCTTGTAAAGTAGGGCTTGAAAGTAATTGGAGACACTCAAGAGAGGTAGGTGTTGGATGCTGGAGATAACTCTAGAGATTCACTGAGTAGGAAGTAATGTGAAAGAATCAGATTCCCAAGATGTGGAATAAAATGAGAATGGGTGGGATAGAATAGAGAATAGGCTGGAAAGGATTGGAGTTGAACTCTGACTTCACTGAATATTATCCAGGAGTTGTGGATAATACTTTACCTGGAGTTCCAATTTCATCATGTATGACTTACCTTATAAAGTTGTGTAAGAATAAGTTTAGCTGGCTATGGTGGTGCTCATCTATAATCCCAGCTACCTGGGAGGCTGAGGCAGGAGGACTGCAAATTAAAGGCCAGCTTGGACAATTTAGTGAGTTAGTGAGATTCTTGTCTCAAAATAAAACAGTGCTGGGAATGTAGCTCAGTGGTAGCGTGCTCCTTGGTTCAATCCTCAGTACAGAAAGAAAGAGAGAGAGGATATTAAAAAAAAAAGGAAAAAAAAAACCCTAGCAAAAACCAAACTATCCCCTAAAAATGAGAAATTAAGATATGCCTAGGTAAACAAAAGCTGAAGGAGTTCATTGCTAGTAGATGTGCCCTATGGGAAATAATAAAGGTAGTCCTTTTCCTTGAAACAAAAGGATACTGATAGGGGACAGATGTGATAGGAACATGAGGTTAAGGGAATAATTCTATAAAATGGGCCCATTGTGCTGACCCTCACATGCTTTTGCCCTTTTATTTATTTATTTTTAAATATGTTTTTAGTTGTAGATGGACATAATACTTTTATTTTATTTGCTTATTTTTATGTGGTGCTGAGGATCGAACCCAGTGCTTCATACATGCAAGGCAAGCACTTTACCACTGAGCCAAAACCCTGGCCTATTTATTTATTTATTTTAGTATGTTTGTTTTGGTACTGGGAATTGAACCCAGGGTGCATTACCACTGAGCTACATCCCCAGCCCATTTTACTTTTTATTTTGAGAGAGGGTCTCTCTAAGTTGCTAAATTGCTGAGGCTCACCTTGAACTTCTAATTCTCCTGCCTCAGCCCCAGCACATGCTTTCACTTTTAAAAAGCAATTTACCTGAAGCCCCGTCTGGCTTAAGTTGACAATACATGTTACATTCCTCAGCAAACTACCTGTTATCTGCAGGAGAAATGCTGATTAAGAAGAAGGGGAGGGGGGATAGTAGGGGACAGGAAAGGTAGCAGAATACAACAGTCATTAATATGGTATTATGTAAAAATGTGGATGTGTAACCGATGTGCAACTTGTATTTGGGGTAAAAAATGGGAGTTCATAACCCACTTGAATCAAATGTATGGAAGATGATATGTCATGAGCTTTGTAATGTTTTGAACAACCAATTAAAAAAAAGAAGAAGAAGAAGAAGAACTTAAGTCACCCTGAAGGAGGGGGCTTCTGTTGTAAGGATCCAGCGGAGCGTCAGAGGGAGAGACCACACAAGAGACCAGCTTCATGCAATTGCAGGGGGAAGTTTTATTGAACCAGCATGCTGAGGCTCAAGGCTCACTCAGGAAGGGAGAGCAGTCCAGAGCCCAGAGCAGACGTCAAGCAGAGCTTAAGTACACTTTTTGGAGAGGGTGGGGGGCTTTGCATACATCAGAACAAATCATCATGAGGCGCAGGAAAATTGAACAACAACTCTGAGCCATGATTAGTACATTCATTGGCTTAGAAATTTTACCTTTACACTGTGACCCTTACAGACTGTTATGCCAGATTCGTGGGACCCCAATAGACTTCCAGGAGCTGAATCCGAGGCAATCACACAAGAGTCTTTATTGCAAGCTCGAGCCTGGACTCACAGGGAGTGAGTCCCAGTCCTTTGTTCAGTGAGATTTTATAGGTTGTTTGGGGGTTACTCTCTGTGTCACAACATCACACATACCATACCGCCGGAAAGTCAAACAACAAGTCTTAACATTGATTAGCACATTCACTGGCGGGAACAAGTTGGGTAGGGGTGATTGGTTAGTACAAGAGGGGGATTCCTTTGAACTGATTGGTTTAGGCCATGAGGGTTGTACATGCTAAACTACATGGTTTCCCAACATGTTATCAACCACC